TGTTAAAAGATCTGTGCATTTAAAATATTTGGTTTATGTTGCCAAATTGCCTTCTAGAAAAGAGGTCTGAGCTCTTTCTCACAGTTTTAACCTTCCTTTAAAATGTTTTTTAAGTCTATCTGCTCAGAACCCCTTAATGCCACCACATATAAACCTGCCATGTAGACCCCTATCAGATGACATTGGTCTTTTTTCCCCTTTGTTTATGCTTGACAAATAGAAATAGTCTGTATTTAGGGGATACAACTCAGTGTTTTGCTGTGCATATGCATTGTGTAACAACCACCATAGTCAAGCTAGATGACATTTCTTTTTTTTTAATACTTATTTTTTAGTTATAGATGGAAACAATTCCTTAATTTTATTTATTTATTTTTATGTGGTGCTGAGGATCCAACCTAGGACCTCGCCATGTGAGGCCAGCACTCTACTGCTGAGCCACAATCCCAGCCCCAAGCTAGGTGACATTTCTATCACCTCACCCGAGTCTTTCATATCAGGGGCTCCATCCAGCTCCTGTGTCCTGACCAAGCATGGGATCTCTGTGACACTCAGCGGCAGCAGAGCCCACAGGGGGCATTTGACTCCACACTGCTGGCAGAGACACCTACATGAGCAGGGCCTTCTGCCCCAGGCTTGAGGCCCCAGCCCCCTATGCTTGACGCTTTCATGAACTTTCTGTCTTCCTCATGTTTTGATGAATTGGTTTCTGGCATGAGAATCGGTCAATGTCCTCTCTCACCCCTGGCTTTCTAGAAACTGTGTCTATATTTAGCTTTGTTGCACCACCCCTGCCCCCCCTCCTGAGCTGGGGTATAATTGCCAACCATCCAGGGGATGACAGGGTTCAGCTCAGAGAGCAGCCAAGGCATCAGGCTCCTGTGGAATCCCAAAGCTCTTGTTTCTCAAACCAAACCAGCTCAGCAATTAGTGTTGGGAGGAAGGCGGAGTAGGGTGTGGATCTGTAGGACAAAGCACAGAGCCAGGACTGGGCGGTCTGGCTGTCCTGACTCCTTGTGGGCAGAGACTAGATGACAGCCACATGTGTGGACGTGGGAGGGCAAGATGGAGGGTGTAGCTCAGTGGTAAGGTGCTTGCCTAGCATGAGCAAGGCCTTCGGTTCAATCCCCAACACCACAAAAAAAAGAAAAGAAGGTGGAAGGACAGGGAAAAAGTTGGCCAAGAGGAGTGTGGCCCCACAAACATCCATATTGGACCAGACACATGTGAAAGGTCGCCCTGGGATCTGGGTCAGGATTCCATGAAGGACCCAAGGTTGGTTGCTGGAATCAGCAAGTGTGCTTTCCATACCCTCCCTGAACATTGACCCCACACTCCAGAACATGTGTCCAATCTCCATCTTCCAGGCCTTCCTCTGGTTCTGCATTTAGAAGGCCTGGTCACTGTATTTTTAAACAATGGTAATAATAATTGAAAAGCACCAGAGCTGGGGTGTGGCTCAATGATAGTGTGCTTGCCTAGCATGTGCAAAGCCCTGGGTTCAATCTTTAGCAACAAAAACAAAAACAAAAACAAAACAAAAAACTTTCCATAAAATGTATAAGCTGCTTTTTTGCATTGCCTAAAAAAGGGCCAAGCGGGTCGGAGTTCTGGCTCAGTGGTAGAACGCTTGCCTAAAGTGTGAAGCACTGGGTTCCATCCCCGGCATCGCATAAAATAAGCAAATAAAATAAAGGCATTGTGTCCATCTACAAGTAAAAAAAAAAAAAAAATTTAGGCCAAGAGCACAGGCTGTATTCTTCCCAGTTCTAGTCCTGATGTGAGGTTGTGTGCCTGCCCCTAGAAAGTGCCAGAACTTTATAATTCTCCTTCTCCTCCCTACCCTCTTTCTCCATCTCATTTTCTTCCTCTTCCTTCCTCTCTTTTTTCCTTTGTAATACTCTAGTTTCATACTACAGTTTGTATAGTGTTTTCTGTTAACCCAGCTCTGTAATCCTTGTATTCCTAACCCAGCTTCAGTAGAGTCCATTCTTGCAGTAAGGTGAAGTTTGGCTGAGTGGCTATCTACAACGTCCTCTGTGTGGAAGCCTGAAATTGGGCTTCAGGTTTAAAACTACACGAGAACAATTTTTTAAAAAGAGTGAAGTGCCAAAGTCTCTTTTCAGGCAACCTCGCTTTTGGAGGCTATCCCCTGGTGAGGCTCAGAGGCAGGCTCCCTAAAGCCCAAGGAAGGACAGGGGAGCCTCTGAAGGGCTCCAGATGCCCCCTTTTGGGGGTCTCAGCAATCTCTCAGCCCTAGCTAGGGACAGATGGGGCTTTGACTCAGGTCACTGGCCAGGCCAACAGCCCGCCTGTGAGCTCTTCTTGGTGCCCATGGCCCTAGAAGCTTCACAGGAAGAGGTCAGAGCCAGACAAGACAGTGGGTGGAGGACAGAGCAGTTCCTTGGACCCCTGGGCTAAATGCCTGGTTTTGAAGAAAAAAAAAAGGAAATGAGAGTTTTCTCTGAATTAGAAACGTTTGGTCTTTGAGTGGGTTTAGAGAATTGTGGGCATTTGTGGTAACAGGTGAAACCTCAAAAACCACAGAGTGGAAGGAGGGAAAGGAGTGAGGGAGGGGCGCCCGTCCTGCAGTAGAGCCAAGCCTGTGGTGGTGGCTGTCTGATCTCTGGGTAGCCCAACCGTTTCCATATTCTGCTGTTGCTCAGGAAAGAACTATCCCTGCAATCGGGGTATTGAGGCAAAGTTGAAAATTTGGACAGTGGTAGACAATGGCTCGATATTGTACCACTCTCTGGGCAATAACTACAGGACAGGCCGGGCCATAGCTGGGCTGGGCATGGATTTAAGGCACCCCTAATAGACTGGCTCTGCTCCACCTCCCCTCACAACCCTGGGTCTGCTCCTGTCCCCTGGGGTAATGAGGGTCATCACAGAAGCATACCAGAGCTAGTGTCTAAAACCAATAGCAGCTACTTCCTCTACCACTGGGTCCTTCTTGGCCTTGAAATGCACTCAAGGGCTTACTTCCTGGGACTGTTTGCATGTGGGCTCGGATTTACCCAGTACTTTGAGTTTCTGGAGTTGAAAATAATCCAAGAATCTGGAAGCTGAGTCTCAGATTCCCAACTTCCAGATATGAAAGCCTTAACTTTTGCTAAATAGTCTTATTGTTAAGTTTCCTAACCTCAGTGGTCACATTTATTAAATGAAGGGGTCACACGAATGGTCTCTGGTCACCTGTGGATATGAGGATCTGTGACTAACTAGGCTGCTGCAGAGTCTCACTCTGATCTCTTCTCCCCCATCCCATGGCCAGATTGGTCTGGTCCCCATCTGTCTGTTTATTGGACTGAGTTTGTCAACTGATGAGTGTGATTGTCCTAAACCCCATATGTGTTCCAGGGAACATGATCAGTGAGTCTTTTTTTTTTTAACCCTAGAATCCTAATTAGTGTCTTGTCATCTGGAGAGAATGATGCTACTTGCTCATCTTTGGGAGAGAAAGGGCTGGGACTGGGACTTTTGCTCCTGAGGTTCTGTTATCTCCACACTCAGAAGTTCTCTAGAAGATGCTACAACTCACACAAAAAGATATTCTGTCACCAGTTTTCTTTATCTTAATTTTGTTACCTTCCCTGGGGAAAAAAGTGGGGCCTGATCCTGTTGGGGCTGGGAGGTGTATATTGATTATAAGTTTTACCCATTCCTGAGCCCAGGCTCTTTGCAGTGTGACTTTGAAGTTCTTCTCATGAAAAGGAGCCATCTTTCTCCACTCCTTGAATCTAAACTGATTGGTAACTTGCTTTGATCCATAGAGTGTATGGACATTTTTGCATAGAGCTATAAGCTAGAGGACTTCCACCCTCCCTCATTATGTGCATAAGCCTGGGCTGGCCTGCTGGGGGGTGAGAGGCACATGAAGGGATGGTGAGAAGCCTCTAGGACAGGGATAGGGGAGGCTTTGAGGGAGGTGTTCTTTATGCAGCCTCCAAAGTCTACACGGTGTGGTTGGCATGGGAGAGAACATCAAATTAGGAAAATGATGGGCTGGGGATGTGGCTCAAGCGGTAGGGCGCTCGCCTGGCATGCGTGTGGCCCAGGTTCGATCCTCAGCACCACATACAAACAAAGATGTTGTGTCTGCAGAAAACTAAAATATATATATATTTAAAAATTCTTTCTCTCTCTCTTTAAAAAAAAACACAAATTAGGAAAATGAGCCCTCAAGCTTGCACAAGCAAGCAAGGGTATATGTGTGCATACTACACACACACACACACACACACACTCTCTCTCTCTCTCTCTCTCTCTCTCTCTCTCTCTCTCTCTCTCTCTCTATCACACACAGAGAATATTCCATACTATACCCCACAGGGGAGGGCAGCTCCCTAGCTCAAAACTCTTTGGTAGTTTTCAGTTCTTATAGTTTTCCCTGGCTTCCTCTGCCTTCCAGGAGGCCATTGCTCCTATCTGCTCCTCCCTTTCTGGGCAGGCTGTTCAGGTGAATAGAGCTATGGTTTGGGATTGGGCCTTTTCTCCCTTCTCTACGTTCCTGTGCACTAATCCATCCCTGGATCACAGGATGTGCTAGTCACAGACATCTAGACTGTCCTAGTCTCAGACCTCTAGACTCTAGAAGACTGAAAGCTGAGACTGGCATCCTTGCCTCTCATTAAAAGCCTCATTATGAGGGCTACTCTGCAGATTTTAGGGATTTAGAAAATTTTACTGGAAAAATTCACTTGTGTATTTCCTGTGTCATTTTAAAAAGATAGGGGAACTGAAGGCTGTAAAAGTAAGTAAAAGCAATGATGAGAGCTAAGGAGGCAATAAATGAAGGAGGAGGGACTGGTTGGTACATGAAGCTAGGGCAGGGCATAGGGCACTGGGGTCACTGACCGTGGCCTAGGGGCTGGGATGGACCCTGCATCCTGGGGGGTGGGGGGGCAGGGGTGGAATGGACCTGGCAGGCTATTCATAGCCAGCACTAAGGAATCAGAAGGTCAGTGACCCAGTGCAGGCATGTGCTTTCTCTGCAGGCGGAGCATGAAACGGAAGGCGCTCTTCACCTGTCCCTTCAATGGGGACTGTCGCATCACCAAGGACAACCGACGCCACTGCCAGGCCTGCCGGCTCAAGCGCTGTGTGGAAATTGGCATGATGAAGGAATGTGAGTGCCTAGGGCGCGAGGCAGGGGTGGAGGCTGAACTGGAATCGCGCGAAGACTTTGACCACTATCATGCAAGTTTTGCCTGAGAGTTCTGTCTGCCTTTTCTCTGCATGACCAGCTGCTAGGGTAGGACTGTTGGAGCGGTAGGGCCAAATGCACCAAGGAGCCCTTGAGCCTCTCTAGGTCCTGTGCTTTTGTTTGAGACCCCTGGAGGATCCCTCAGAGTGAGCAGAGAGAGGGAGAGGGGGCACTGCTTTCATGACCCCCAGGTCACAGTCTTTCTCCAGGATATCATCATAGTCTCAGTGCTCCCTGTTTATTCCCTAGACTTAGAGGAAAAGATGAGGCTCAGACTTCTCTGGACTTTGGGAGGGAGAGCAGCTGTGGTGAGGAGGGGCAGGTGGTGGGGAGAAGAAATATGCAGAGCCTGGCAGGAAGGGGTCCCCACCCTGGCCTTCAGCCATGTAGGTCCTGTGGTCAATCTGAGGGCTGGTGCCCAGGGAAGGCTGGGGGAAGATTCTGCTAGGTGAAGCACCAAAGCTCTAGGATGACCCTCATTTCCTATAGCACTTCCTATACAACTCTAGGGTTGGAGAAGAAGACCACCGTGGCTGATTTACAGGGACATTCTGACCCACCATTAAAAATAAACCATTGAGTAGGGCATAGTGGTACACACCTGTAATCCCAGCAACTTGGGAGGCTGATGCATCAGAATCACAAGTTGGAGGCTAGCCTCAGCAATTTAGTGAGATCCTGTCTCAAAATAAAAAATAAAAAGGGCTGGGATATGGCTCAGCAGTAAAGCACTCCTGAGTTAAGTCCCCAGTACCAAAAAAGAAAAAGAAAAAGAAACCCAAAACAAAAACAAGCCCTTGACTTGAATGCTGTTGAATTCAGCCAATGCTGGGAGAGGCTTGCTTATAGCCCCCCTAGGCTGGTGGGGCTAGACCAGTCCAGCCATAGGAGGCTGGTGCACATTTTATTCTCACTCTACTCCCGCTGAGCACTCTTGTCTGCAGTTGGCAGGCAGACCTCTACCCCAGCTCCAGAACAGAACCCATGCCCTGCCAAGCTGTGGCCTGGGGAGTCTGGGGTGGGAGGTAGGCTTTCAAGCACAAGAATCCCAGAAGCCCTCCTGGCTATGGGACCATTTTGGGGGTAGGTAAGGAAAAGGCAGACACCAGAAAGATATGCCGGTAACAGCTGAGAAAGTAATAGGAAAGGCCTTAGGTGATGAGAAATGTCTTCTCAATGGGAATAAAATTCAGCATTGCTGGGAAACGGGCAGTGTTGGAGCCCTACCTTGGGCTTCCTCCTCACCTTGATCGCAGCTCCCCAGCCAACACTGGCAGCTCTGGGAGGAGTTTACAGGCTGTAGTTCCTCACCCCTACAGGAGCGTGCAGGCCTAGACATGCTATCACTCTACCCAGTCCCTGCCCCACCCCAGCTCCTGTGTTTATGCTGGAGAGAGTGAGAACATGCAGTCCCAATGTCTGGGGACCTATGAGCCTTTGCACCCCATCTTAGTGAGGTCTGCTCTGTGGGCATAAACAAGGTGCAGCACCTGCCCTGCCTCTGTGAAGCACTTTGCCCCTTCAGGGCAGGGAGCTTCAGCCACCCAAGAATGGCCTGGGCTCCAGCTTGGCATTCAGTAAGACACTTGTCTCAGGAGTTAGGTCAACTTTGATGATGGCCCAGGAGCCTTTGGCCTGTTCCTTAGGAAAAGGGGATGTCCTGTTAGCCTGTTAGAGGAGGAAGACAGAGATCCTCTGAAACCCAAAAAAGGAAAAACATCAGGATTAGGGTCAGAAAATAATTTAGTGGCTAGACTAGAATAGCATCCAACCCATGTCCCCTTCTAAAGCCCTCCAGATCCCCCAAGGAGCACAGAAACTACAGTGAGGAGCAGTACCAGGTCCCAGGAGCTAAATCAGGAGCCCCTGGTCATGAACACCACACCACATAGTGGGTCCAGTCATCCAAAACTGAATGCCCACACCAATCAGCTTTGTGCCTCTGCCTAGACCTGCCCCATGGAGCCCTGTGCCCTGTCCTGCCCACAAGCTCTTGTGCCTCCAGGGCAGGCAGCTGTACTGAGCAGTGGATGAGCTGTAGTTAGAACTGAAGCACTGGGCCAGCACAAGCCCATCTTTTTCACTGCCCTGAAGGGTAGGTTATCCCCAAAGAGATTTAGTTCCTATTCATGTCAGCCCAGCTGACGTGTGTCCGGGCCCAGAGTCCCTAGCTCAGAGTCCTAGGAGAGCTGTTCCCTGATTGGCTAGCTGTTGTCCCAGGGCCTAGCCTCCCTAAAACAATCAAGTGACTCAAAATTTGTAAAACCATAGGAAGGGAGCTAAAAACCCAGGCTCCCTTCTGGCCAGAGCGGATAGATAGGCCCTCTATAGAGGAGACATAGAAAGGGAAAGGGGGTGAAGATAGAAATTAGTGGGGGTTTTTTTTCTTCTTTTTTTTTTTTTCTGGGAGTTAGGGAAATACTGGGGATTGAACTCAGGGACACTCAACCACTGAGCCACATCCACAGACCTATTTTGAGTTTTATTTAGAGACAGGGTCTCACTGAGTTGCTTAGCACCTTGCTTTTGCTGAGGCTGGCTTTGAGCTCTTTATCCTCCTGCCTCAGCCTCCCAAGCCTCTGGGATTACAGGCATACACTGATGTGCCCTGCTTTGATTTTGTTTTTGAGAAAAATGAAAAAGAAGGTTATTACTTTGCTAGCAAAGGAGAAAGGCAGGGAACTCCTGTCCCAGAGGCTGTGATTCTGCCCATCAACAGGAACAGGGTGCTTTTAAAGAGGTCATTTAAAGGCTACCTTCCACATGTTCTCTGATGGAGTTGGAATTCATGTGTTAATTTGGGAGACAGTCATTTCTGAGGTCTTCTGGTACCATCCCCAAAGTCTGGGTTACTTTATTCCTATGGTGAGTGTGTACTCAAATACAGATAAATCTCCCTAAATGGGGAAAAAAATCCAATTTATCCTGAGGTTAGGGAGGAGGAGAGATTAGAGAGGAGCAAGGAGAGAGGAAGAGAAAGAAACATGTTCATTTAAAAAATCAGTTGCAGGGGGGCTGGGGTTGTAGCTCAGTGGTGGAGCGCTTGCCTCACGTATGTGAGGCACTGTGTTCAATTCTCAGCAGTGCATATAAATAAATACAATAAAGGTCCTTCAACAACTAAAAAAAATAAATAAATCAGTTGCAGGGCTGGGAATATAGCTCAGTTGGAAGAGTGCTTGCCTTGCATGCACAAGGCTCTGGGTTCAATCCCCAGCACCAACCACACAAACAAACAAATAAATCAGTTGCAGTGGCAGAGCAGCAAGGGCTATATTCAAAGCATAAAGTGGACCACTGTTACATTTCCCCACTGTGGATTCCTGCATTCCATTTCTATGGGAAAATAGGCAACAACATCTCTAAGCTGCTTCCTTCTGAAAGGGAGCAAAGTTAAGGGAAGTAACCCAAAGTTCTTGTTCTCTATCATGTGGGATATGGACGTTTAAGAGTATTCAATATCAGAGCAGTCCAGAGGTCCACAGTGGCAGATGGCAGGTGACTGGACAAGGCATACATAGGACAGGGATCATGCTGAGACAACTATAAACAAGACAGGAAAGCATTACTTTTTTGTAAACAATTGGCACAAAAACAATTAGTATTTCAGCCAGTCTCTGAAAACCATGAAGACAGTAACTCATGATGATGTCAGTGAAAAATAGATGAAGTTTATGGATATAGAAGGTTAGTAATATTTGTAGGTCTATGAGATCAGGATCAAATCAACTTAGGACAAACATGAGTTCTTTGTGATCATTATTATCATGCATTCCCACACAAGAACCCTTCCTCTATAGCCTCCAGCTTTACTCACTCTTGGTAGGGCTGACACAAGTATACATCTTTAGTTATATATAAAAAAAAACATTGTTTTTCCTTTTAAATGTCCATGTAGGACTGTGCTCAGGCTACACTCTCCTGCCAGGTATTTAAGACCAAGTTGGTCAAAACTGACCTTGTTCCTATCTACTCTTAAGGGTCAGCTGAGATTCCTCAGAAGTCACTCTTGGGGATGTGTGCAAAGCCTCTTGGCTCCTTTAGCAGAAGCCAGTGTTTATTGATACAAGATACTGTGTCAGACATGCATTTTCTTCTTAAACTCTTACAACAACCCCTAAATATGTAAATACTTCTATTTTTTTTTTAATAGGTAAGAAAAGCCAGTCACGGTAGAGTACACCAGTAATCCTAGTGGCTCAGGAGGATGAGGCAGGAGTTCAAAGCCAGTCTCAGCAACTTAGCAAGGCCCTAAGCAACTTAGTAAGACCACGTCTCTAAATACAAGATAAAAAGGGCTGAGGATGTAGCTCACTGGCTAAGCGCCCCTGGGTTCAATCCCTGGTAAAAAAAAATTTAAAAAAAAAAAAAGCTAAGAAAGCTTGAAGGAATTAAAATATGCCTCTGAGCTAAAATGATGATGGTATCAACGTTCAACACTCATTCTAACATAGGTCTGTCTGCTTCCAAAGGCCAGGCTTGTGGGGTCCACCCCAGGGCAGCCTCTCAGGTGCTTCTAATAGTCAGAGCTCTCTCCATTTTACCTCTCCAGATACTGCCTGGAGACAAGCTAAAGAGAGCTTTGTCCCCACCAAGAGTCCTCCTCTTTCTCTTCCAATCCTTATTGACTGTATGTCCTTGGAACCCAAGACATTCCATAGTTGAGCTCTTGCATGTTGCTTATTCTATACTCATCCTACACAGAACTACCTATTATGTAAACCTCAATTTTTTTTGCAAATATATATGTTTTCTCTCCAGTGTTAGCACAGTGCCTGGCACATAGTAGGTGCTCAATAAATCTGTGTTGAGAACAATTTGGTGGCTAAGCTGGAATACAGCTATATTCAAAGCATAAAGTGGATGATTGTTACATTTCCCCAGTGTGAATTTCTACAAACAGATGGAGTTTATCAATGTAGGAGGTTAGGAAGATTTGTAGGTCTATGAGATCAGGCTCAACTCAACTCAGGACAAACATGCAACTCTAGAGTCCTTTGTGATTGTTATTATTTGGCACTCCCACACAAGAACCCTTCCTTTATAGCCTCCAGCTTTACTTACTTATTATGGGTTGCATCCAACCCATGTCCCCTCCTAGACCTCTCCATGTCCCCACATGGAGCACATAGCTCCACACTATACTTCTTAGGTCTCTATATCGCCACTTGTCTATAGAAGCCAAAAAGATTATTCCAAACCTGATATTGTCTCTGTCATTCATTTGGAAAAATATTTTGTCCACTTCCTTTGTTACCCATGGCCATCGTGAAATGTTTTTAAATCATTTATGTTTGCAGATCTGACTTCCCAACTCGAGTCTAGGCTTTGTTGACAGAGAACATGGCTTACAAGGAAATAACTTGCACAAAGTCACATCCAGCTAGGAACCTGGGAGATGTCAAAAAAGCTGCTGAGCAGCAGTGTAGTTTTCACAGTGTTTCACAATGAGCAGGGACCAAAGCTCATAGCTTTATTCACTGGAGAGCCCCTCAAATGCAGCTCTTTCAGACCTATTTACCCTTATTCTAGCTCAGTGGCTTTTCTCTTCAAAACGTGTCTCTTGCCAGGAATGGAGGCACTTGCCTGTAATCCCAATGACTCAGAAGTTTGAGGCAAGAGGATCACAGGTTCAAGGACAACTTCAGAAACCAATGAAATTAATAACCCCTTTAAAAATTATTTCATAAATCATAGTAGCATCTGTATATGTGAGAGGCTTATGGCTTATTCAGTCCCTAAACTACCTGGCCTTGTGGGAGGGAGTGTCCTGGATTGGGCACCTTGGGTAAAACAGAGCTTAGGTTTCTTTGTCTAGTCTCCCACTCGCCCAGAAGATGGTGGCTGCTATCTGAGGCAATAGTTGGGAAGAACATTGTTTTAGAGTTAACCATGAATCCTTTTTGTCTTTTTAAAGTAAGCCATTGACATTCTTTGCTACTTTATTGAATTCTTTATATTCTTCAGATGGATTGGAGCACCTTGTTTGTCAGAATTGATGGCTGAGAGCCAGAGTCCTACTGGGCAGTCATAGCTGGCTAGGGTCAGAGGCAGTATGGGGTTATGATTATAGCCATTGACCCCAGAACCAGACTGCCCAGGTCTGAACAGCAGCTCTACCATTTGTTAGCTGTGTGACTTGAGACTCGGTTCCCTCTTCTGCAAAATGGGCATATTAATAGTGCCTGCCTTTAAGGATTGTTAAGAGAGGACTAAATATATATAACTGCATGTACAAAAAGCACTTAGAACAGTGCCTGGTATACAACAAGAAATTATGTATGTTATACATTACTATTAATACTATCTTTTTATTATACCAGACTTGATTGCCAAGATTTCTAGCTCCCAACAGATCAGAAGTAACACTGGAGGGAAGAAAAGCACACTTCTAGAGGCAGATACTGACAAGAGGAGGCAATGCATAGCTTAGCAGAAAGGCAGAGACCAAGCTGTGAGAAGGAGCACAACACTCCAAAGCGCACAACCCTGAGGTCATGACCTTGACCCGAATGTTCGAAGAGTATTCAGAATGAGGTCTCTGAATCATTGAGAAAAGGTTTTAGGATGCCCAAGGATGCCATTACAAGATAGTCTTTCTGAAAAATATTTCAATCACAATAATTTAATCAAAGAGTTTAGCTTCGCTCAGTTATGCAGTGGCCTGGTGTGCCATGTGTGCCATTTCCAACATTTCAGGGGATATATGACTTGATGCATTCCTTACTGTCCTTCCCCAAGCCCAGGAAAATGACTTGCACATAGTAGGTGCAGTCTGTGTTGATGTGCTCAATGTTTAGTGTCAGACTTTCTGGCAAGCACCATGGCCAGGAAGCCTGTGTTGGGAAAAGCAAGAATTCTAAGACAGGGCCTCTGCCCTCAAGTAAACTAAAGTCTAGTGAAGGAGACTTTCAACTTCTTAGGTTCTCTCTGTAGGCATTTATTAAAACCTATACTAACCATTAGTATTAAAGAATGGAAGTTGAAGCCTGGCAATGTGGCTGATGCATGTAATCCTAGTGACTCAGGAGGCTGGGGCAGGAGGATTGCAAGTTCAAAGCCAGTCTCAGCAACTTAGCAAGACTCTAAGCAACTCAGTGACACCCTGTCTCTAAATAAAATATTTTAAAAAGAGCCAGGATGTAGTTCAATGTCTAAGTGCATTGAGTTCAGTCCCTGGTACCAAAAAAAAAAAAAAAAAGAATGGAAGATGATTAAGGGTCAATGTGAATGGGAAAGATTAAATACGTGTCAGCCACAAGAAACGAGAGCACAGTGCAGATCAGGGCAATCAAAAAAGGAGGGTGTTAAGCTGGGCATTGAGAAAGTGATAGAACTTACACAGCTACTGGGGAGGGAAGACCCAACTGGACAAACATCCAGCACAGGTGGAAATTCAGGGGGAGATGTGGCGCAGGTCATGTTCACAGGTCAGCAATGCCAACATGCCTACAGCAGAAGCAGTGTCCAGAGGTGCTGAGAAATGAGGTTGGAAAGTTAGAAAGAAGCCAAATCTTGGAGATCCTTGACTTTGGTTTGAGCCTGGTAAGCAGGAAGGAGCCAAGAAACATTTCTAAGCAGGAGAATAACATCATAGAATCACAGGAGGGATGCCAAAGTCCATTAAGACTGAAAAACATGCCTATGGATATCCACAGTGTGCTTGGCAGAGCCTGGCCTCCTTAGTTCTGATCACATTACCCCCTTTATCCACCCTTCAGATGAGCAAGAAAGAACAGACACCTAATCTGGGATTCCCCAGGCCAGGGCCTTATATCTTGCCTTTCCCTGCTCTGCTCCTTTCTCCCCACCCTTCTTGACCTCTTAGAGTCTGAGTAGACACCCTCTGTGGGAGGAGATTGGCAGCTCTGGGTGGCTGAGTCAATCACCTTGGCATGGCCTCCTCCCTGCCCTCCTCTTGGTATGGCTTACCTCAGCGTGAAGGGAAGGCTCCATCTTTTGCCGTAGGCTTACTTTTTCTGCTATGCCTGTGGCCCTGGTTGTATCCTCCCACCAGCCTTAGGTTCTTCTTCAGGCCCCACCAACTTCTCTCATTCTCCCCTTACCTAGGGTACTTGGGTCAATTGGCCCTTCTTGAAGCCTGGAACTCTCCCATTCTGGGGTTATTGATCCTTTCCCTGCTCTTGTGAAACTCCCCAGCACTGTGGGCAGATGCCTGGCAGCTCCAGAGAAGAGCAAGTAGCTACAGGATGTCCCAGTGCCCACTCCTGCCGTCAGCGCTCTGCAAGCCCTGGCCAGGAGGTCTGTTTGCCTGGCTGTTGTGCCAGGCATCCCTGCTGCAGCCCCACCCTCCAGGGCAGCCATCCCAGCACAGTGTGGCAGGTCATCCCTGCCCAAACCTGCAAGTGACAGAGGGTCTCATGGCCAGTCACCCACTAGCAACTTGGAGAGAACATCCCAGATTAGAGATGTGAGGCGTTAGCCTTCAGGGACTCGAAGAGAGCTCAAAAACTTCCTTGAGCAGATATATCAAGACTGGACAGGCTGGAAGATGGGTAGTTTTGCAGATAACCAAAGAAGATGGTCAGGGTAGACCAGATGCCTGAGTTTCATGCTGGGAAATGGATGTGAGAATGACTATGAAGAGGGATCTTTTTGGCATCTCTTATCGTCCATCACTCCAACTGCGAGTGTCCACACAGTTGTTCATTCACTGTAACGTTACCTTCATATCTTTCTTCTTCAGGACCATAGGCCATGGGGTGGGAGGGTGGAGGAAGACTAATGCTTCATGAGCACCTGCACAGTGTCAGCCTCGCATCTGGGTCCTAAAACTCCCCCACCTACACACGCACACACRCACACACACACACACTCATTATGGAGAAAATAGCAAGAAACAAGTTATATGGTCCAACTTCTCATTCTATAAATGGGAGAACAAAAGCCTAGAGTTGTTTTGTTTTTTAGGGTACTGGGATTGGGGGCACTCAACCACTAAGCCACATCCTCAGCCCTTTTTTTGTATTGTATTTAGAGACAGGGTCTCACCGAGTTGATTAGTACCTCGCTATTGCTGAGGCTGGCTTTGAACTCTCGATCCTCCAGTCTCAGCTTTCCAAGCTGTTGGGATTACAGGTGTGCGCCACTGCACCTGGCAAAAGCCTAGAGTTTGAGCAGTTTGCTAAAGATCCAACAACTTGTTCTTGGGAATCCAGACTCCCTAATGCCAGCCCATCTTGCCTCCCAGATCCTCTTTCTTCTTCTTGGATGTGCCTGCCTTTTCATCAGAGCTAACCTAATTTATTTCCATATTGTGGCATTGGAGCCCCAGGGAGCCCCAAGTGTGAGGAGACAGCCAGTTCCTCCCATGCTGGTCCTTTAATACTGGATGAACATTTTCTGGAGGAGCAGTGGACCAGCCCTCCTGACTCCCCTTCCTGCCCCCACAGTCATACTGACAGATGAGGAGGTGCAGCGCAAGCGGGAGATGATCCTAAAGCGGAAGGAGGAAGAGGCCTTGAAGGATAGTCTGCGGCCCAAGCTATCTGAGGAACAGCAGCATATCATTGCCATCCTGCTGGACGCCCACCACAAGACCTACGATCCCACCTATGCCGACTTTGACCAGTTCCGGGTATGTCTGCCTCCAGCCAGGGAGTATGAGCAAGAGCTAGGAGAGAACCAGAAACGAGCCAGGCTGGGAGCAGGAATGGAGAGCCATGGGCCTGCTGGCATGGAATCAGGGAAGGGACAGAAGCTGCTCTGCCCCTCTGGCATTGGGAGGCCTTCCATTCCTGTAGATCATCCTTGAAACCATTGCTGTCAGAGATCAGGACCAAAACAAAAAGGCATTCCTGAAAATAGGGGCCTCTGAGACCCCGTCTTTCCCTTCCAGCCTCCAGTTCGAGACCATGAGAGAGAAGGGAGTCATCCTGCAGGGCACACTCCCAGCTTTTCCAGGAATTCCTCTTCCTCTGGCTCAGATCTCTACACCACCTCTCTAGGTAAGCAGGACTTCCCACCACTGCCAGGCCAACAGGGGAGGGGAGCCCACCCACCTGTCCTTGGGCTGCTGGATGCAAGAGGCAGAAAGCTCCCTACTGTGACCAGCATTTGCATACTGTGCACCACACAGTGTCCTCAAAACAACCTCATTTTCACAGAAGGGCACTGCCTTGCATGGGGCCCATGCTGAGGGAGAGTTCAAGCTCTGATGCAGCCTGTGTGGAAAGGCCCATCTGATCCATGCTCTTTCCTCTAAGCCAGGTTCTGGCTCCCTCCCTGGGGGTGACCTGATTCCTTTAAATGATGTTTTGATTCTGGGCTGTTTGGGGAGGTGAAATCAGCGTGGAAAGCAGAGCTTTACCTGAGCTCTGGGAGAGAACTATGGCCCTGGAGGATCGGCCACCTCCAGTTCACCCAAGAGCCTGGGAGGCACAGTCTTTCCTTCTTATGGCCTTTTTATACCTTTCTCCTCATCCTCCTCCTCATCATCCCCTGCCCTTGTCCTTTCTCCCTCCACCCCTCACCCAGCTCTGGTGTCCTCCACTCAGGGCCTATTTGAGGGCAGGGATAGGAACCCTATCTTCCCTCTGGATAACTACATCCCTTAGATAAGAAATTTTCAGACTCAGTGATGGATCTGTGCATGGATCCAGAATAGATGGAAGGGGTTCCAGGACAGAGGTAACAGTTGGAGCATACATTGTTAAAGTGCATTATCTATAAAATTTATTTTATGTATAATCTTTAATCTTCCTGAGCCAAGAAAATTAACATTAGGAGGTATCTCTTCTTCATCTTTTTTTTTAAAAACACATATGTTTGAAGGGACGCTGTCACTATGGGATCCCTTGTATTCAGAAATGGAATTGTGCCCTAAGTCAGATCACTGCTTTTTTTTTCTCTTAATAGTATACGTATGTCAGGTGCAGTGGCACATGTCTGTGATCCCAGTGACTCAGGAGGCTGAGACTTGGCGATTGTAAATTTGAGGCTAGCCTGGTCAATTTGGCAAGACTCTGTCTCAAAATATAAAGAACTGTAGATGAAGCTCAGTAGTAAAAGCACCCATGGGTTCAATCCCTAGTACTTCCAAAAAAATTGAAATAGTATATTGTATCATATTTCCATGTCTTTCACTATTCATCTATAATATAGTATTAGTATTTAAAGGCTGCATAGTATTCGGAGATATAACATATCTAAATCCCCTGCCACCTGGATAGCTAGATTATTTCCCAACTTTTCAGAAGGATAATACTTTGCTTGTAGATAAATATTTACAGTTATTCTGAATTCTTTCCTTATGGTGAATTCATGAAAGTGGGATTACTGGTCAAAAAGTACACTTAATTACAGACTTTGACCCCTATTGTCAAATAGCTTAGATCACCTGTACAGATGTACACCTGTAGCACTGAGCTCTGCATGATAATTGCCTAATTCTCTGTATCTTTACAAATACTGGTATCAACATTTAAACATTTGTTTGCAGTTTATAGGTGAATAGTGTAGATGTTCTACTTTGTAGTTCTTTCATCACTAGGGAGGTTGAACATCCCCCCCCMCACACACACACACACGCAAGTTGATTGGTCCCAAATTCATTTTTAATGGAGATCACAGAAGGGCACTGACTTGCACTGGGCCCATGCTGAGGGAGAGGCCAAGTTCTGATGCAGGCTGTGTGGAAAGGACCATCTGATCCATGCTCTGCAAGATCACGTGGTCTCCAAAATCATGGCTCAAGGAAGTCTTGTTTCTCTAAGTATTTCTGGCTCTTTGATTTTACTGCTTCACACCTCACACTGCTAGAAGAGACCAGAAGAGACCCAGAGGGAATCCTGGAGCTGCAGTGTGGCCTTTGGAGGGAGGCTGTCACTGTGGGGTCCCTTGTTGGCTTTGCTTCCAGGGCACATGAGGTCCTTGTAGGGGCAGGCAAGAGGGACCTGGCCTGAGTATTCTTTTCTTGTGGGGAAGTATTAGGGATTAAACCCAGGATGCTTAGCCACTGAGCCTCATCCCCAGCCCTTTTTATTTTTTGAGACAGGTTCTTGCTAAGTTGCTTAGGGCCTCACTAAGTTGCTGAAGCTGCCTTTGAACTCACAATCCTCATGCCTCCTACTCCGGAGCCATAGGGATTACAGGTATGCACCACCATGCCTTGCTCCGGCCTGAGTATTCTTAAATAGTTCCTACTCTTTCCTCCTTTTCCCCAGACATGATGGAGCCATCTAACTTCTCGAACCTGGATCTAAGTGAAGAAGACCCAGATGATCCTTCTGTGACTTTGGACCTGTCCCAACTATCCATGCTGCCCCACCTAGCTGACCTGGTCAGTTACAGCATCCAAAAGGTGATCGGCTTTGCCAAGATGATCCCAGGATTCAGGTAAGTAGTTTCTGCAATGTCTGGGGATCAGTCAGAATCCTAGATGGAGCTAGAAGGTTTGGAGGTCACCAACCCACTGCTTCCCCAAAACAGAGATTGGGTTCTACCTCAGACCTCCAGAATCAGAATCTCTGGGGGAGGCCCAGGAATCTGTATTTTAGGAAATGTAGCCCATCCAGCACTGCTTTATGAGCCAGCAACACCAAGTTGTCATTTTTAATAAATATATTGGGAGATAGCTACATCCATATTTATGTATATTAAATCTTCATTCTTTCCAAAACTTCACTGTGTATCTTGATTTAAAATATATATATATATATATATATATATATATATATATATATATATATATATAGTAGCTGGGTGCACTGGTGTATGCCTGTAATCGCAGAGGCTCAGGGGGCTAAGGCAGTAGGATCATGAGTTCAAAGCTGGCCTTAGCAATGGTGAGGCACTAAGCAACTCAGTGAGACCCTGTCTCTAAATAAAATACAAAAAGGGCTGGGGAGGGCTGGGTTTGTGGCTCAGTGGTAGAGCACTTGCCTAGCATATGTGAAGCACTGGGTTCAATTCTCAGCACCACATATAAGTAAATAAATGAAATAAAGGTACACTAACAACTAAAAAATTAAAAATATATTTTTTAAAAGGGGGCTGGGTATGTGGCTCAGTGGTTAAGCATCACTGGATTCAATCCCCAATACCAAAATAAATAAATACATAATAGGATCCTGTAAGCTGGAAAATAAATCATTGTTGGCCAGCTCTGGATGGAACTAACATGAACTGCCATTATTTGTTTTGTGGATCCCTCTGCTGCATACTGAAGCCATCAATTAGTTATTGTCTAAATTACCACATTGCCCTGCTTAATGGCAATGTATAGATGAGGACTGCTCTTCAGAATTAGGATGGAAGTCAGGTGCTTCAACGCTTTCCAGTTTGTTTCTGTGCTGAGACAACTAGCCCTGCTTTATTTTATGCCTCTCACCAACCCATATACCAGAAACTCTCCAATGCTCTTGCCCTGAAATTAATGTGAAAATTGTAAAGAAAAGAACGTCAGGGGGCCGGGGTTGTGGCTCTGTGGTAGTGCGCTTGCCTAGCATGCGTGAGGCACTGGGTTCGATTCTCAGCACCGCATACAAATAAATAAAATAAGGTCCACCGACAACTAAAAATATTAAAAAAAAAAAAAAGAACGTCAAACAATGTTGAGACACTCTTGCCACATGAACATTTGGGTTGCTGCAACAGAAGCAAGGGCCATGCTGGCAGTCAGACAGAACAAGTGACTGAGTCTCCTGTGAGTCCCTGGGTTTAACCTCCAGAGCCTTCCCTTGGAACCAAAAACACATTCCGTTGAACACAAGTTTCAACTCCCTCCTCCATGCTTCATGTTACTGTTTGCAAACTCCATCTCTTCCAAAGTCTTGTTTTGTGTAAATAGAGAAAAAACACTTCAAGGTGCCAAAGTCTACTCTGAAGCACCTGGCTTCCATCCTCATCTGCACAGGATTCATTCTTCCCTGCCCTAGTGGGGAGTTGGACAGATGGCCTGAGGCTCTCTCCAGAGGCTAAGTTTTGGTGTTCTAAGTGGTGGCTAGGATTGCGCACATGGGAAACCATCCTGCAAGGAAATTCCTCATTAAAATGCATCTCTCAGCACTACTCCTCTTCCCTAAGTGTCCCCAGCCTCCATTTTTTCTCCAGTGTCCTTTGGTACCTGTTCCTTACCTCCCTCTCAATTTTTCTCCCCAAGTCTGAGCCTAAGTCTGCCCTCTTCTTTTCAAGTCTTATCTTCCCTGGGGTTCGTTAGTCTGGTCCTGTAGTCATGGCTAAAGGGAAGTACATGTGAGCAGGTAATAGGGGTGCCAAACCATTGATACAAAATGTGTTAAACTGATCCTGAATGTCCTTGGGTTAACTTCTCTTTCTGTAGAGTGACTTGAGAAGTTTCAGAGCAGAATGTTTTTCCATATAAATGGAGCAGACCTTGGCAAGAGCATGGGGGGGACACTGATGTGGACACACTGTGACCAGATGGAGAGGGTGCTGAGCTCAGATGGGAGCAACTTCCAGGGGCCAGTCAGGGCCAGTCTAGCAGCTCCCTGGTCTTTCTGGTTTCCATGCTAAGGGTTTTGATTTCTCAAGAAGTGGAAGAACAGTGGCCATGGTCCCTGGTGGCTTTGATCTTGCTGCCTATAGGCGGGGGTGGTGGGTGTGGGGAAGGCAGGATGAGACTTCTGTGTAGGTGAGGGGAGGGGGGTCTGGATGAGACTCCAGCTTGGGCATGGGACCAGTATGGGGCGGGACTGGATGGGTTGCTCTGGGCGTGAACTGCACTGTAGTGAACACTTGGCCCCACTCCCTCCTCCCACCGCCTCTCTTTCATCCTTTCAGACTTACCCCACAAACCTCCCTCTTTCTTGGTACTGCAAAAGAAATGCATAGAAGAAGTGTTGTCAGAAGCAGCTTGCAAATCTGAGGGTGCTTGGTCCTTACATCCAGGAAGAGCCTTGGATGTGAGGACCAAGCACCCTCAGATTCCACAGCCAAGTGGGTGCACAAGGGACTAGGCCACTCCAGCTGGAGCCCAGATGTGTGGGCTAAAAATACCACTTCCATTTCCAGGGACTCCTTCTTGAGACAAAGGCTCAGGGGTCATGGTACTTCCTTTGTCCTGTGCCCTTTCCTCCACATTCATTTACCCATCCATCAAACAAACAACTTTCTTATATAAACTGTGAGGGATAAAAGTTGACTAGGACACAGTCCCTGCCTCCAGGTACTCAGTGTCTGATGGAAGAGATAGGCATGTGAGCAATTGCTGTAGAGAGATAAGAGCTCTCCTGGAAACCTGCTAGAGATACCGTGGGAATTCAGGCGAGGGGGGGCTGGACTCTGCCCTTGGGGGTGGGAAAGACCAGACAGCAACATCAAACCAGGCACGCCTCAGGTACTCAGAAGTGGCCACAGGTGTGATGATAACAAGGGTATAAATATCACACAGGTCAGGGAGGAGGCAGAGACTGAGCAGGCTCCAGTTGTCACAGAGCAGCCCTCTTACTGGTTTCCTTAAACTCCATGTCTACTCCCACCCACCACCATCCCCAGTTCTGGCTGTGAACCGCACTTAGAAAGTCCCTGTCTTTCCTGGCTGTGGGTGGTAATGTGGGGTCATCAGAGGTTTGCTTCATAGCAGTAGCATGTCTGGGTCACAACAAGGAGCAACCCTACTGAAATCCCCTGGCCAACCACCCAGAGAATGTGTGTTCACTTATGCCATCCATCCTGACTAGGGCACTGAACAGACAGTCCTCGCAAAATTACCTATTGTAGCAAAAGTTAGAAGCTACCATAACATCCCAAAATAGGTAAATGGGAGACTGCTTAAATAACTTTGAGTGTACTGATGTAAGATTACCCAGCCCACTAAGAACTGGGTGAAAGAATTTTCAGTGATATGGGAAGCTGGAATTAGTATGAACTCAAGTATGTTAAAAAAAAAAATATATATATATATATATATATATATATATATATATATATATATATATGTTAGTTGTGATTATAAGTAATTTTATTTGCTTTTATACATTTGTTTTCCAAAGATTTAATTATACATATGTTTTACTTGTATGTTGAGTTAAAAAACCAAAACACAATGGAGGTGATGTTAATTTTTATTTTTATCATGTTTTTAAATTTTATAACTTTTAATTTTTATTATTTTTATGTGGTTCTGAGGATTGAACCCAGGGCCTTGCATGTGTTAGGCGAGTGCTTTACTGCTGAGCCATAACCCCAGCCCCTAATTTTTATTTTTTAAATGTAGAGTGAACAGCTAGAGAAAAGTGACAAAGATAAGGAAACATTTAGACTTAGACAGTTATTAGCCCATCTTTCCTAGAGAATATATAAAGAGGACATGGTAATTTTTTCTTTAAAAAAGAAAAAAATCCACCAGGCATGGTGGTGCATGCCTATAATCCCAGCAGCTCAGGAGGCTGAGACAGGAGGATTGCGAGTTTAAAGCCAGCTTCAAAACTGGCAAGGCACTAAGCAACTTAGTGAGACCTTGTGTCTAAATAAAATACAAAATAGGGCTGGGGATGTGGCTCAGTGATTGAGTGCCCCTGAGTTCAATACCTGGTACCAAGAAAAGAAAAGGACATGGTTGTGCCAACATCAGGAGTTGACCCCGGAGGTTTACCTGGGACTTCTATAAAACATTCCTGCTGTTTTAAGTCTCTAGATTTGTGGTCATTTGTTACAACAGTCAGGAAAAGCATACCCAGGCTTAAGAAGAGAAATCATTGTCATCAGTTGTCAGAGAAAATCAGTTGACAAAATTCAATACCCCAAAACCAACCAAACAAATGAATGGGAAAAAATGAATAAATAAATTTTTTAAAAATTCCACTAGCATGGTTAAAGGGCCATCTCAAGGATAAAGGAGAAGTCTGATTCTTTCGAGTGCAAAACTATAAACATTGGGTGAATATCTCTGCATGGGGGTTGAAGCTGAACAGAAGAAGAGGCCATCAAGGCAGGAACTATCTAACAACCTGATGGCTGAGTCCAGAGGCTGTGAGCTCCCTACATCAGGAGCATCCTGTGGAGGCTATGTAAGCGCTATCTGTCAGGCATGCAGGAAGAGGAATTGGCCCACTTGGTCTCCAAGAGGCTTTCCAACTCTTGCATTTTGTGTATTGCTCAATACCAGTCCTTTGCCTACCATCCTAATCATGTAAGCCCTTTCATTCCCCATCATCTATCACCTGTTGATATAGAACTCCCATCAGTTAATATCTGCTTCCTGTATTTACATACCAAAGAGCAGCCATAGAGAAGATGACAGCCCATCTACATGATTTCCAGGAGAAAACTGACAGTCAGGAAGAAAAAGGAGGAAAAAGCCAAAAGCAAGTGGGTCCATGGTCTCTGGTTTTGCCTTGCCATTGTTCAGACAAGCCCAGCTTATGACTCAGAACAGTGGAACTAATTGTTGGGCTCTTATCACATACACACATTTATTGATCCTCTTGTACTCAAGGCTTGATGGTCAGAGTATGGGCAACAGTAAGGTAATTAAGAGATGGTATTGGCCCTCAAGTAACTTACAAATAAGAGCCAGAGACTAGCATGAACAGARCTGAAGGTGAAAGGACAAAATAAGAGCCAAGTGATGTGCAGTGGGTCATAAAGAAATGGCTTCTGCTAAAGAGAATGGGGGAGGGAGGTCCAAGAGATAACACTGGATTCAGGATAAGGACAGTATGATGGAAAATTAGAAGAAGGGTGTTCCTCACTGGAGCTGGAGTATGCTCTAAGGTATAGTGGTCTGAAAGCATACAGCATCTAAATACAGAGAGGCCTAGTGTTGCTAGAAATGGAGGGTTGATGGCATTTGCATTGGGAGGGGTGGGCTGGAAAGACAGATTGGATCCAAGTTATGGGTGTTTGAGAATCAGTGAGGTTTTCTGGGCACAAAAGTGTCATTTACCTGGAAGAGCAGGAGGAAAGATGAATGAGAGATCTAAGAGATGAGTCCAGAACCCCAAGAGGAGGCTATTTTAAGAGATGATGGAGCTCTTGATGGAGCAGTCYTGGTGAGAGTAGGAATAAGGTCAAGGGTTTGAGAAAGGTCTTGGAGACAGAGCTTACTACTGAGAAGGACGGGTGGACAGGAAGAGGGAGAAGAAATGAAAACAGGGGATTTGTTGAAGATGACTTGGGCCAAAGCATTTGCAGACCACCCTATCCACACCACGGTATGGGGAGCTTCCTTTGGCTTTCTCTTCCCATCACTAATAGCTCTGGCTGCCTAGTCACTGGATTTTCCTTCTCTTATTAACTGAGCTACTTCAATTTTCACCTTGGCATATGGTCAGTGTGGAGGACAGAGGCACACAATGGTCACCTAGCAGGTGTAACCCTAAACTGATTGGTGTGACTTGAAGGTCTTGACTGGTGGCCTGATCTCCTCACCTCCCCAACCATCACAGAGATCTCACCTCTGAGGACCAGATCGTGCTGCTGAAGTCGAGTGCCATTGAGGTGATCATGCTGCGCTCCAACCAGTCCTTCACTATGGATGACATGTCCTGGAACTGCGGCAACCAGGACTATAAGTATAATTTTACTGATGTGACCAAAGGTGTGTCTAGATTCTGCTTCCACCTTTTCCAACTTCCAGACTCTGGTTCCAACCCACTTGAGGTCTTGGGCTCCCATCAGGCACATGGAAGATAGTGGGGGGTGGGGCTAGGCAACAACAGGGAGAGGAGAGCAAGGGCAGGCAAGGGTTGGAGGTGGGGTGGGTAGCTCCTGGGTTCTACCCACAGTACCTGGTCATTCTTTCTGATAGCTGGGCACACCCAGGAGCTGATTGAACCCCTCATCAAGTTCCAAGTGGGGCTGAAGAAGCTGAATTTGCATGAGGAAGAACATGTCCTGCTCATGGCTATCTGCATCGTCTCCCCAGGTATGGAGCCCAGGAGTGAGGAACTCACTAGGAAGTGGTGAAAGACAATGACCTGTGGAGGGCCAGCAGGGCAATCTGGAGGGAAAATTGATCAAAAGGAAAGGCAAATAGGGAAATAGAGAAACATCGCTTTGCTGGCTTTGTATGGCCCTTAGGGTGTGCAATGGTTGAGGGGTCCCTCATCCCTCACTGCCCTTGGCTTTTTCTTCTAGAGACAGTAGGTGATTCATAAGATTCTGAGAAACCAGATAAACAGGGTTCCTCAGGCCACAGACAGGCCTGGGTGTTCCCAACACTTGGGCTCTCTTCTGTGTGAACTGGAATGAACTTTTCTGTCACTTGAGGTTCCTCAGAAGAACACAAAACCTTGAGGATGATGAATGATTCTGCATTTACCTGGCTGGTTCTGGAGGCAGTGTTTTTTGACCCTTGACCTTTTCTGTTTGTTTGGGGTGGGAAGAGGGCAAAAAGGCCAAAGAGGAAGTTGTTGTGGCCCTGGGGATGTTCTCTTGGTGATGAAGCCCAGATTTGTGGATCTATAGAATATATGACAGCAGCAGGGCTCCTGATTAAGACATGGAGCTGAAGGGCCGTCAGGAAGGGCCCACTTGAGGAAGGTCTTGTAAGCTGTTACAGTCAGTCAGGCAAAGATAGAAGAGCTGAGTTCCAAGCTGGGGAAACACAAAAGCAAAGCCCGGAGGCCAGAGAGTGCATCGCTCAGGACACAATGTACAGACACATTGTACAGGCACAATGTACAGACCAATGTACAGACAGAGGAAATGAGGTGAGGTGGAGACAGGACCAGATGGGCTCATGAAAAGACGTCATCCTCCATGCAGTGGGAAGTTGTTGAGGGATTTAAGGCAGGTGTCTCAGGTCAGCAGTCATACAGGGTGGCCTGGGCAGTGCCTCACAAGGTATCCATATGAGTGAGACTGAGCAGCGAGGGAGTCAGCTTGGAGCCCCTGTGTCTTCTCCTCCTATCCCCTGTGCCACAGACCGACCTGGGGTGCAGGACGCCAAGCTGGTGGAGGCCATCCAGGATCGCCTGTCCAACACGCTGCAGACCTATATTCGCTGCCGCCACCCGCCCCCAGGCAGCCACCTGCTCTATGCCAAGATGATCCAGAAGCTGGCGGACCTGCGTAGCCTCAACGAGGAACACTCCAAGCAGTATCGCTCGCTCTCCTTCCAGCCTGACAGCAGCATGAAGCTCACGCCCCTTGTGCTTGAGGTGTTTGGCAATGAGATCTCCTGACTAGGGCGGCCTGTGGTGGCGCCTGGGCCGGGTTGCTCCTCCAGGGCCTGGTGCCCAGGCCCCAGACTGGCTACAGCCCAGCAGCCCCTCCCACTCCTCCTGGAGTTCAACCCCACCTCTGCCAACTCCCTTGTCTGTCTGGCCCATCCTCTCTCCTGTCCGGTCTAATACCAGGTTCCCCTTCTCTGCAGGCCACAGGTTGCCCCCTGTCCCATGAGACCTCAGTCATGAGTTACTGTTTATTTGACAAAGAAAAATCAAGTGGAGACAGAGGGCAGAGGCTGGAGGAGGGGCCTTGCCCAGGGATGTCCCCAACACTCCCTAAGTGGCTGCTGCTAATGCAAAGGAAGGCAGGCAGGACAAATGCACCCACTCCTCAGGGACAGAGATACTTGTACCTCCCCCAGCCCATACGTCCAGAGCCTGGTGAGGAGACCCCTCCCCCTGCCCACACAGAATACATAACTGACCCACAATCCTTACCCTACCCCATCTTATCCTGCTACCTATCTGTGCTGTTCTGTCCCATCCACAATAGTGCCTCCTCCCTCTGCCTTCCTTCTCCTGGCCTGCCTGGGCCACTCACTGCCAAGAATGAGCAAATCCAAGAAAACTAAGGTCATGATACCCCTTCACCCACCCTGCTGGCCAAAGGGTACTCTCCCAGTCTTGGTATGCCCACCTCCATCCCTTTGCCATGGTAATCCTCTCATGGGCAGTAGCTGTGGTATGCTGGGCTTCCTCCCTATGGCAGGAGCTGCTGGCTCAGAACCCACCCGCTGAGAAGCCCCAGGAGAGCAGAACACAGGATCAGGCAGTGGACAACAGGCAAACCAGCCTCCCAGAATGGCAATGGATGGTGATCCAAGGCTGTCTCTGTCACAAAGTCCAGGGTTGGTTGAGAGGGAGCTCTCCTTCCAACCATCCACATGGCAAGATGGAATTACCCTGGGACTGCAAAGAAGGCCTCCCTGCCACTGTCCTCCTCTTCACTCTGCCAGTGCTTTACCTCCCACCCAGGAGGGCAGGCCCTCCTACCTTGACCCCCAAGGAGACCTCACCCTCTCTGATCACCAACGGTAGCAAGGAAGTTGTCCCAATCTCCTCTTGCCCCAGTTTGGAACAACAGGGCCTCCCTCTGACAAGTACATGGGACTTGCATCTTCTTCCCCTGGCAGGGTGGGATAGAGGACTGCCCACATGTAACTCCAAGATAGCTACCCAGATGCAGAATAAGAAGCCAGCACCTGCACCTCAGGGCTTGGTCGGGGGAGCTGGTAGATCCAGGGGCTGGTCAGAGCATGTGGGGACCCAGCAGTGTGGGGCTGGTTCCCTTCTCATCACTCTACCACCCAGAACTCACAGGGAACATGGCCAGGAGGGGAATGCATAACTTTAGACTCCATTTCCTCCTCTAGTGGCCACACCCAGGATATGGGAACCCTCCCTGCCGAGTGGGTTGTGGGTGTGTGGGCCACACAGAGGGGCTTCTTCCAGAGGGACTCATGGAGGGTCTTTGAGATGACTGCTTGAATTAGGGGAGTATTTCCACATCGACATGGAGGTAAGGTCAGTGGGAATATGGCCACCCAAATCCCAAGAAGATGCACCCCTCCACCTACATCTGTGAAAACTGGGAGGAATCAGACTCAACATAGCAAGAGCTGTCAGTGTCCTCCTGGCCCTGCATTTCCCAAAATTCTTCAGGTGAAAACATGTCTAAAGGCCACATTCCACATTACAGAATAGCATACCTATGGCTTCATCTTCAATGTGTTAGATATTAGTTGCTTTCAGAATCAGACTCCACTATGTTCTAATATTGAGGGTACCAGGCAGAGCTATTTATGGGGGGGGGGGGACTTACATTGTGAAAATACTGTACATTAGTGAATATTGTTATTATTGTATAAGGGTCTAGGGAAAGACCTTTGATTTTAGCTGTAGAATATTTTTAGCTGTAGAATGCATTGATCTAATTTTCTATTCCACTGGGGGAGAAAGCTTAAAAATTGTTAAAGTAGTTAGACCCCCTTGTTAAAGGCAACTGACCCTTAGAGGAGGGTATGACTTACCCATGCTCAAATAACTATTTTTAAGTTGCTCCAGGAGCTGAGGCTGAGGCAGAATGATCACAAGTTCAAAGCCAGCCTCAGCAACTTAGTGAGCCCCTGAGCAACTTAAAGAGATCCTATCTCAAAATAAAACATAAAAGGGGTTGGGGATGTGGTTAGCACTCTGGGTTCAATCCCTGGTACAAAAGAAAAAAACTAAACAAACAAGCAAATAAGTCACTCCAGGGCTGGACAAGAATTTGGACTTATACTCCAGTGCCCTTTTCAATACAAAACACTTAAGCTCAGACCCTATTTTCCATTTCCCTGATGACTGACCCAAATTTAGACAGAGCATGTCTAGATCTGGAACCCCTTTCTTTTTTCCCTGGGTTGTAGCCCCACTGACCCATCAGAAGAAGGAGGGGGAAGGACATTCAGCCTGTGTCTCAATGTGAATCAACCCCTCCCCTCGGGTGGCCCTGGCCTTTGGTCTCTGCCTCAGCCCCGTATAATGCTGTTGTTGCCTTATCAATAAAGTACCTTGATCTTTGTAATGTCTGCACTTCCCCAGCTCTCCCTCTGACCCTGCCCTCTCCTGGGAACTCAAGGGGACCCCCTGGGAACAACGGTTACTCATTCCAGGGGCAAATAACCAGGACTCCAAAAGGGAAGTCTAGGAGCTGGGAGGAAAAGAAAAAAGAAACAAGTGAAGATTTAGGGATCTGAATTGGGAGAAAACTGTATTGTCTAGTGTGTTAGAATGAAAGTGTGAAGGTGGACATGTATAAAGTGAAAACTTTTAAAGTATATATTAGAAGTGAAGGAAAGCACACACCAAAGTGGAAAATAAACAAGATTCCAGGCATGGGGAGGTCCTTCTGCTGGCTAACCGGAAGCAAGTAGGGGGAATCCAAGTGAGGTCAACGGAAGAGGTGGAATGTATGACAAATTTGGTGAAAGTCAGACATTAAGCAGCAGAAGAAAGCTTTAAATGTTGCCTCCCAACTGATTTCCAAATAGAAAAAAAAAAAAAAGTTTGCCAGAAATTGTCAAGTAAACCAATGGGGAAAAAAAGCTCTGCTTATGGTAATAAAGCTGATTCATACTTACATAGCACTTACTTTGTGGCAAATACTGCTGTAAATAAATGCTTTATGAAAACCAACTTGCTTTATCCTTATAAGGACCCTATGGGAGATGGGCTATTATTACCCCCACTAGACAGAGAGAATAACTTGCTGAAAGCTACATTGGTGATGAGAGGGTTGAGATTTGGACCCTTCAGAAGCCATTGATTAACTGCTACATTATTATATTGCTTCCTATTGGGTTTGACAGTCTTGCTAGCACTTTCCTAAAGTGGATACAGGGGAGGTTCCCTTTCCTAAAATGGGCCCTGAGATGGGGAAATTAGAGATGTTAGACCAAAATGCTCTACTCTCAGAAGTATTTGGTCAAGCTGGGTGTGGTGGCACCACATGCTTGTAATCCCAGCGGCTCCTGAGGCTGATACAGGAGGATCAAGAGTTCAAAGCCAGCCTCAGCAACAGCAAGGTACCAAGCAACTCAGTGAGCCCTTGTCTCTAAATAAAATATAAAATAATTCTATGGATGTGGTTCAGTAGTCAAGTGCCCCTGAATTTAATCCCTGGTACAAAAAAAAAAAAAAAGTGTTTGGTCAGATGTGTTGGTTCCAGTGTGGCACTTACCTAAAAACCTCAAGAATGAAAAGCAGACAACTGTTGGCAAAAAAGATGGCTGCTGCCCTGGTGACCAGGAAGATTGCAAATGACGCCTATGTACAAGTAGGACTCCCTAGGGGCCCTGAAGAGTGAAAGCCTATGCACCCTCTTCTGCAATGAAGCGTGGCTCATGATGAAGGTTAGCATTGCTAAACACAGCAAACAAGAACCACCCACTGAGGACGCAGCATTGGGATCTGTAAATGGAGTAATCGTGCCCAAACAATGTATTTATTTAGGATAAGTTGGCCTCGGAACTTGCAAATGTGATTGAGTTTTCAGAAACATCTGCAAAAAATTTCAAACCATAGGCTAAAACGTGTCACAGGGGGATGAGAAATTGAGAATTGGGCTTGGGGGTTATTTGATCATGAAAAATTAATAAAAGTAGAGAAAAGAAACCAACAACTACATAAATGGGCATGTCTCTAGCTAAAAAAGCATAAATCTGAGAAATTACTAGAAGATTCAGACTTAGTTGTTGTTGCTGTTTTGTACTGGGGATTGAACCCAGGGGCACTTTACAACTGAGTCACATCCCCAGCCCTTTTTATTACTCATTTTGACACAGGATCTAGCTAGGTTACTGAGCTAGCCTTGAACTTGTAATCATTCTGCCTCAACCTCCCAAGTCTCTGGGATTACACCACTGTGCTGGGCCTTACTTAGTATTTTTATAGATGATCAAGGGGGAACACAAAAATCTCCAAAGCTGTGTGTTATAACTGACTTTTCCAGGTAAACTCAGGAAAATCTTATAATTAGGACAAAGTGATTTTGAGTTTTTGCATCCCATGTTTTGGTTCCGTATCTGTAACTGTTCAATGAGGTATACACACACACACACACATATATATATATATATATATATATATATATATATATATATATAAATTTAAATGAAAATGAAATAAAAGTAAACTTTCAGCTCCTAGGCTACACAAGCCACAGCTCCAGTACTCAGTCATCTTCGGGCTACCATGAGGGACGGTGTAGATACAGGACATTTTCATCATCATAGAAAGTTCTGCTGTATAGCACTGGTCTAGTCTACACCATGAATTCTTCTCTGATATCACTGTGGGTGACTGACTGAGGATGTGGCCCTAACATGCTTCTGCTGAMCTTTGAGGCAGTAGACACTGCGTGTTTGACATCACACAGTGACAAAGCAGTATAGGGAACATCTTCCCCTTCCTCA